CGGCCAGTCTCGCTTGGATTTCGTGGCCTCAGCGGCCAACAGACATTTTCACCAAGGTCCTAGCGCCTACTGACCACCACATGTTCTATCTGCAGTTAGGCCTTGTTGACACTGGTGCTCGGTTGCTGTAGCATTGTTTCTTATTGCTTGCTCTGCTTGTCCTTGCATCTATATATATTTGTGAACTCTTTAACTGGCCTTGTGGCTGTTTCCTTGTGCTCGGAATGTGTGGTGATCTTGAGATCCACCTTGAGCGTTGTCTTGTTTCTTCTCTTGACTGGTCTTGTGACCATTTGTTTCCCTTGGTTGGTTTGATGCCCCTCACTTAGCCTATGGGGGTGTGTCAAACGTTTATATCATTTAGATATTGTTAGGTACTCTAGGCCACAGTGTGTTGCCCTTTAAAGGGTACAATACTTTCTAGGTTGACACTTGTATGTTCTTGCTTTCACTCACTTCACACCTTTCCCTCGACACTCCTTCCTAACTTACTTTAAGATGTTCCTCTACCTCGCGGCAACTCTTTCCCGTTATCACCTAGCGATCCGCCCATCTGTTACCATTCGTGCCACTGTACCTGAACCTTACGTTACGCCTCAAATGTTAACCCACAGCTTGACCTACTTCTTCGGTTGTTTCTGATCATCAACGCAGCACCCCAACCTTTCGCATGTTACCGTTACCATATTTTTGTTAGTTTTTTTTTGTTTGTTCATGGCTTTGCTCACATTTTAATCTTTTGACCTCGATAGTGCAATCCTCGCTCGGCCGCTCCTTTGCAATCGTAACATTTGGGCTATTCCCTAGGCGCAGGCCCACTCGGCATTTTACATTTGTGCGTGGTTTGGCAAAACTAGTGCGCGATATGGCGAAGAACGGTCGAGCCCCTTAATTGTGTTGTACGCAGTGCAGTCGGGTGCAACGTAAGTGTTTTTGAACCACCAAAAGGTTATACAAGTATTCCCAAATGTATCATAGTAGCGCATTATCTCACTTATCCTCACTACCCATTATCACATTTCACTCATACTACGAGTGTGGGTCGACTGGCGGAATCCGCCCTGCTGGATCCGCCTTGCCGGGTGCGCCTTCCTGCAGGTCTGTGTCGGCCTGCAGGTGCGGCCGGCGGAGCCGCCTTCTCCTCCATTCTGAACCTGCGAGGGAAGCATCGAGCCGGGATGCACGAAGTGGATGTTGGATGAGGTATGGTGAAAGTGGTATGGTGAAAGTGGTAGGGTGAATGAGGCAGCATGAAGGAGGTAGGGTGGTTGAGACAATGAGAATGATCTAGCGAGAGTGGTTGGGCTTTGGCGGGGTTGGAAAAGGATCTCACAGCTTTGTGGATGCGGCCTTGGAAGGGGCCAGCCTCTGCTTCGCAGCTCTGCTGTGGCGATTGCTTCGCTAACTCCGATATCTGCCATGAGCAGAGGGGCAATGTGGTGGGTAATGTGAATGAGGTATTGCGAATGAGGTGTTGCAAATGCGGCAGAGCGAATGCGGCAACACGGTTGTTGTATGGCGGGTAGGGCGAATCAGTCTGGCCGAATGAGGCAGGTCGATTGAGGTAGGGATACGGAGATAACGCGCGGGGGTCCGGGATTGATGGGCATGCGGGACGGCAGGGAAGGCGGACCCCTTTCGCATTTGGGCGGCATGTCACGACGCGGCTACTCGCTATGTACAGCAGTTCAAAACTCTGCCCTTAGCCGGCATGTCCCCTTTCGAATTTGACCTTTCGCATTGGCCTGGCTTGTCACAACGCGGTCAAATTGGGGCACAATCTTCACCTCCCATTCCTTTTGCACGTCCCCTCTTCCTCTATACAGCGAAGACCTCGTTGCAGGTTGTCGCGGGCTGCCGCGCTGCGAGCGGCGTGGCTTAGATTGTCCAGGATGCGTAAGATACGACTTGTGCATTTCGTTAATACTTTCCTTACGTCACCCCTGACGCCTCTGTTTTCCGGCAACGAGACTAGACGTAATTCTTCTACTAGAAGTCGACTAGCAAGAAATTAGTCGACTCAAAAATAAATATCGGTTGAAACGACCATGGTCATAGACGTACCTTTGGAATCCGCGTGAGATTCCCGAGAGGAGTGCGTGATCTGTCTGCCAGTGTCAGAGGCGAGCGGGAATATCCTGCGTGAATCAAAGGTACTACCTGTCCGACAAGGCCACGAAATCCAAAGCTGTTACAATCCCAAGTGGGACTTAGCGAAGGATCACTCAGGTCAGAGTGAATTTAAATGACTGAGATTGATAATAGCATGCATACATCTAGTTTATATAGGAAATACAGAGGAATACGAAACGACATAGACTAGCCATGTACTCTAAGGGGTACATTCCCTTTATTACAGCGAAGTTCAAACCGTGCGGCGCGGGAACCCGTTTCAAACCTGTTCCCGCTCTTTTTACTTCGAATGTTTCTGCCTGCATCGGTCTTGATCAGACGGTTACCAGTGTCGCTTCGACTCTTCTGACTCCTCGGCTTCATACACTTTAGAGTCGGCCCCTGTAGCATACAGGAATGCCTTCTCATAAAGTTTCATATCGCAACACTCCCCTTCATTCCTGGGCGCGCAGGGGGCTGACTCGCTTGACCACTCCGGTGAGGTCGGAACAGTGCTTGTACTGCTGACGTGGCAGTCGCTTGGTGAGAAAGTCGGCTGCCATCTCGGTGGTAGGGCAGTACGTGAGATCAACCTTGCCATGGTCAATTTCGTCCTTGACGAAAAAGTACCGAAGCGCGATGTGCTTCGTGCGGTTCACGAACCCTGGCTTGTTCGCAATCTTGATGGCACTCTGGTTGTCGCAGTGAAGGCGAAAGGTGGGCGAAGATGGAATTTTCGCCTCCTGCAGGTACAGACCTTGGCGAACTGCTGCTGTCGCGGCGATGTATTCTGCTTCGGCTGATGACAGGGCAACCAGCTCCTGCTTCTGTGAGTTCCAGGAGATTGGTCCTGTTGGTTCCAGGCGGAAAACAAAGCCGGTTCGGGACCGTCGATTTGCAGGATCAGCGGCATGATCTGCATCTACGTAGCCGTTGAGGTTGAAGGGGGTCGTCGTCAGCGTGGAGTAGGAGAGCCTTATGTCAGGTGTGGAAATGAAGTACTGCAGGGCGCGCTCCAGATCCAGCTGGTTCTCTGCTACTGGCTTGCGAGAGTACTGTGCCAGTTGGCTGGCGATGTACGAAATGTCGGGTCGGCAGGTGACAGAGGCGAACAGCAGGCACCCCAATTTTTGCTGGTACATTTGGAGTCCTGCGGGTGACAGAGGTTTGTTGTCCGGTTTGTTGTTGGCGCTGGGGTTGCGGTAAGGGGTTGAGAGTGGTGCGGGTGAAATGTTGAAGCGTTCCCCCAGCTGCTCTGCGTACTTGGAGGCTGACAGGTGAATTGCTTCTGGCGCGTAGGTGATGTTTAACCCCAGGAACTGTGTGACGTTGTGGTTGATGGTGATGTCAACGTGCTGCGCCAGGTTCTCTTCGAACTGATTAAGGAGCTTGTTGCAGGTGTCGGTGTACAGCAGGTCGTCGACGTAGACTATCAGAAGGATGTAGTCGCCGTTAAAGTGAAGGCGGTACATTCCCGGGTCGTGCGGCAGCTGTCTGAAGCCGATCTCCAGGAGGATTTTGTGCAGATGCTGCTGCCAGAGACGCGGCGCTTGCTTTATCCCGTAGAGGGATTTCTTCAGCTGGCAGACCCTGGGGTCTCCTTCCCCGTAGGTGTGTGGCTGTTCCACGAAGATGGTTGCATCCACCAACGCGTATAAGAACGCATTCTTCACGTCGATCTGCCGTAGTGGTAGGTGCTTAGCAGCGGCAATGGCGAGTAGAATTCGGACGGAGGTGTGACGACTGACGGGAGCAAAGGTTTGATCAAAGTCGATGCTGTGGCGCTGGTCGTACCCGCGTACGACCCAGCGTGCCTTGAAGCGCTCGATAGTGCCGTCGGCGTTGGTTTTGAGACGGAATACCCATTTTCCGCTTAGCACCCTCCTCCCCTTCACTGCTGCATGATCGACGAGGACCCATGACCGATTAGAAGGGAACTGCGCCGCGCGGAAGCAGGAAAAACTACCAACAAATTCTCTTTTGCGCCGACATCATCCATCCATGACATCCCATTCCAACCGAGGCGCTAACTACGGCTAAGTTTGGCACCTAAAGACTGATCTGAAAGCACAGTCCCAGCCTTCCCCGTGCGCCACGCCGCAACGCGCGCCTTGATTGACCTACCCCATCGACTTCTTTTTACGGCGAATAGCTCCCATTAGCGTCACCCACCTGATTCGGTACTACTACCTACCCATGCCTCACATGTCCATAGTAGAATCTACTGCTAATAAGCGAACCAGCTGGCTGTAGCGAAGCAGTGGTCGTTTTCGGTTTCCTAGACTTGATTTACGACCTTACTAGTCGGCTGAACACCCCCTCATATTAGCTCGAAATGCGTCGTCGAGCAGTTCAGCCACGGGCAACGCGCTTCTTTCTTCATCATTCTTGATTCCGAACATTCGCACTACAGTAAGCCCTAATTAAGCACAGTACTACAGCGTTGAGGCGTCATGGCCGCCGCGCGAATTGCAAGACGAACCGCGCCGACGAGGTGCCGCATCGCCAATACCCCAACGGTCCCTGTCCTCCTCCTCCTCTCCCTCGTCGTTTCACAGGCGGGTGGCGTCCCGTCAACCGCGGCATTACCAAGCACCAACCGCGGTCCCGGTCTCACGACTCACACAGAAACTGTTTCCGCGACGGCGCACACACAATCGTCTGCACGTTCTAAGAGTAGCCTCGTTATACGGCTGGTCAGTCACAGAACACCACGCAGAGATATCGGCGGAGTTATTATAGGCGGATTTTCAGGGCGGCATGATGATGGACGTGAATCAGCTATGGAGGTCGAAAAAAGTTATATTTTTGTGAATAGTACTTTAGTGCAAACGATTGCACGTCCGAGTCGAGGTCGCGAGTTGCTGCAGTGCACGGGGGGGAGAACTATGTATCCGGGCGGGGCGGGGTGCGTGGATCGCGCGTTTCTCTGCGACGGAATCGCCGACTGCGGCGACCAGAGCGACGAGGATGCGACGTTCTGCGACGCGTTCGACTGCAGCAGCGTGGGGAAGGTGAGACGCGTACGGCTGGGGACGTCGTTTGGGGCATCCCGGGCGTTGCAGCGCGGTGGAGTGCGGTGCAGAATGGGGTCGGTGCGGCGTGGGTGACATTGACATTCCGGTCCCTTCCTTCCCATCCTCCTCATCATCTCCCCCTGTTCTCATTGTGCCTCCATGTTCTCTGCTTCATTGCGCCAACCGTGTCCCAGGGGCTACAAAAAGCCTCCCTGTGTAAAATCGAGGTGACTTTTGAGTCGACTCAAAAGCCTTCCTCCCCGTCCTCCGCGTCATCTCCCCCTGTTCTCATTGGGCCTCCATGTTCTCTGCTTCATTGCGCCACTTCCGTGTCCCGGGGGCTACAAAACTCCTCTCTGTATAAAATCCGCATGATATCAATCGAGTTTCGACCCGTTCCAGAACTCGTCCTCCTTATCATCTCCCCCTGTCCCCATTCTGCTCATCTCCGTTCTTTGCTTCATTGCTGTGTTCCGGGGGCAGGCAGTGCATGAGAGGGGGGGGGAGACCAGGATAGATGCCCGGGAGGAGGCGGGCAGTGCATGGAGCGAGGGGGATACTGCGTGTTCAACAGGGACTGCAGCAATGGGAGCGAGCGAGAGAGTGAGAGAGGGAGAGGCCACGAGAGTCAATCTGTCTTCCATTCCCTGTGTCTTACTGCTCCTGCAGGACAGATGACGAGGAGGCGGGAAGTGCATGGAGCGAGGGGGATAATGCGACTTCAATCAGGGGCTGTAGCGATGGGAGCGAGCGAGCGAGTGAGTGAGCGAGCGAGTGAGTGAGCGAGCGAGTGAGTGAGTAAGGGAGAGGCCACGAGAGTCAATCTGTCTTCCATTCCCTGTGTGTCTTACTGCTCCTGCAGGACAGGTGTCCGGGAGGCGGGCAGTGCATGAGGCGGGGAGGTTACTGTGACTTCAATCAGGATTGCAGCGATGGGAGCGACGAGGGCGAGGAGGATTGCAGCGAGCTGTACAAGCAAGGGTACTGCCAGAGACAAGGGATGGTGAGTGCTATAACTCATGCTCTGGTGTGGTGTTTGTGAGTGCTCAGCGAGGTGCAGTGTGGTGTGGTGGGGGATGGGGAGGGCGAGGAGGAGTGCAGCGAGCTGTACAAGGAGGGGTACTGCCAGCGACAAGGCATGGTGAGTGCTATAACTCATGCGCTGTTGTGAGGTAGTGTGAGCGGGTGTGCGCTGGTGCTCAGCGCACGTGCAGTGTGGTATGGTGGATAGTGAGGAGGGCGACGAGGAGTGCAGCGAGCTTTACAAGGACGGGTGCTGTCGGCGGCAAGGGATCGTGAGTGCGGCACCTCTTGCCCTGCTGTGCGTTTGTGTGCACTGTTGATCCCTGCATGTGCTGTGTGGGGAATGCGGAGGGCCCGAGGAGGAGTGCAGCGAGCTGTACAAGCAGGGTACTGCCTGCGGCAAGGGATGGTGAGTGCAGCAAGGTGCGGGTGTATTCGCACTGGTGTGTGCTGGTGTTCTTTGCATGTGCAGAAGAGTGGTATGGTGCAGAATGGGGAGGGCGAGGAGGAGTGCAGCGAGCTGTACAAGGAGGGGTACTGCCAGCGGCAAGGGATGGTGAGTGAGTGAACACGCAGTACCTTACTCCTCTGACTCCCCCTGTACCTTCCTCCCTCCCTTTCTCCCTTCCCTTCCCTTCCCTTCCCTTCCCTTCCCTTCCCTTCCCAGATAGAGTGCCCCCTCGACCCCACCTACTGCATATCTGAAACCGACCTCTGTGACGGGGAGGAGCATTGCCTGGGAGGCCCTGCACCTTACTCACTCCTCTTTTTCCCCCTCGCCTGTTGCCTGTCTCCACATGCCATTCCCTTTTCTTCCCAGATGGAGTGTCCTCTCGACCCCACCTACTGCATCGTTGAAACCGACCTCTGTGACGGGGAGGAGCATTGCCTGGGAGGCTGGGACGAGGCCAACTGCCTTCCCCACCCACCGTGACCCCACCTTACCCCTCTTTATCTCTCTTCCTCTCTTCGCTTTCGCCCTCCCCTTCCCAGATGGAGTGTCCTCTCGACCCCACCTACTGCATATCGGAAACTGACTTGTGTGACGGGGAGGAGCATTGCCTGGGAGGCTGGGACGAGGCAAGCTGCCTTCGAATTCACCATCCTGTTTCCCCCGTCTCCCCTCCTTTGTCGTCCCAGATCGAGTGCCCCCTCGACCCACCTACTGCATCTCTGAAACCGATCTGTGTGACGGGGAGGAGCATTGCATGGGAGGCTGGGACGAGGCCAACTGCATGCCCCACCCGTGCCCCCCGGGCTGGCTCAAATGCCCCAAGACTGGTTACTGCACGCCTGCTGGTAACCTGTGTGACGGTGTTACAGACTGCTTCGCCACCCCCGAGCCTGAGGACGAGGACCCGGACCTGTGCCGAGCCTATGCGTGCCCGAAGGGTTGGAGGAAGTGTGCGGATGGGGAGCAGTGTGTGCAGCAGGGGCGGTGGTGCGATGGAGTGGTGGATTGTGCTGGTGAGTGCCCTGGGTTAGTGGGTCACTGGGATGGTGGGGTGCCAGCTTGCTGGCGGGATTGCTGAGCTGCACAACATGGGGAGCACCGCGTGCAGCAGGGGCGGTGGTGCGACGGAGTGGTGGATTGTGCTGGTGAGCGCCCTGGGTTAGTGGGTTACTGGGTTGCTGCATGGGCTGCTGGGCTGTTGAGTTGCTGGGTTGCAGGCTGGGTTACTGGGTGAAGGCTGAGGAGCAATGCGTGCAGCAGGGGCGGTGGTGCGATGGAGTGGTGGATTGTGCTGGTGAGTGGGTTGCTGGCAAGGTGGGACACTGGATAGCTGCGCTGTTGCAGTGCGTGCTGCAGGGTTGCTGGCTGGTTGCTGGATGCTGGATGCAGGGTTGCAGGGTTGCAGGGTTGCAGGGTTGCAGGGTTGCAGGGTTGCTGGGTTGCAGGGTTGCTGGATGCTGGGTTGCTGGGTGAACGTGCAGTGTGTGCAGCAGGGGCGGTGGTGCGATGGGCTGGTGGATTGTGCTGGTGAGTGCCCTGGTCAGTGCGTTGCTGGGTTGCTGGTTTACTGGGATGCTGCATTGCTGGGTTGATGGGTTGCTGGGTTGATGGGTTGCTGGGTTGATGGGTTTCTGGGTTGATGGCTGGTTTGCTGTGTTGCCGGGCTGCTGGAATTCTGAGTGAAGGGTACCGTGCAATGCCTGCATGACGGCGGTGGTGCTATCGGCGATATGACTGCGGTGGTGGGAGCCATGGGCCAGTGGGTTTCTGGGATGCTGGCCTATGGGTTGCATGGGAGAATGGTCTTTAAGGTGAATGCTTTTATTCGTTTGTTGGCTGAAATGGGCCCGAACTGTTCTTGTATCGAGTTTCGCTCTTATACTTAAAACTAAACATATCAGTCGTCCACGTACACAATGATTCAGTCGCTATTTCTCGCGTGTTGAATTGTCCAACCAGGTCCTCCCTCCCTCCCTTTCACCCAACTTTCCTGTCGTCATGCCCCGTCTCTCTGCTCACCCTGCCACACAGATGGGAGTGACGAAGGAGCTGTGTGTTCGGTGCCAGATCCCAAGAATGCCACCAAAGTAAACAAAGGCACCGGCTCGTCAAGGAGAAGCAGCAGCAGCGGCGGCGGTGGCAGCAGCAGCGGCGACGGTGGCGGCGGCGGCGGCAGCAGTAGCGGAACTGGTGTTGTAACGCTTGCTACGACAAGCTTCATGGAGGCCAGAACAGAAAATCTGTCTGCAAAGGCTAGGCCTATTGTGGAGGCGAAAGCAGAGCGGGCTTTGAAGAAAGCTGCCAAGGAAGCAAGGAGGAGGAAGAAGGCAGAGGTGACAGCGGCTAAGGCAGCCAAGAAGTTTCGGAAAGCCAAAAAAGAAGCTGCTATTAAAGCGAAGGAGGAGAGACTGGCAGTTAAGAAGGCTAAATTGGAGGCCAAGGCCAAGAGAAGAGCTGCCAAAGATGCAAGAAGAAGAAAGAAAGCTGCTAGGAAAGCAGCGATTGAGAGGAGGAAAGCAAAGAAACAAGCTGTGGAAGTTGGACTGAAAAAAGGAGAAATGTTGACAAGGAGAGGGTTGAGATAAAACGGGGACCTTCGAGTACATTGTCTTGGCTCAATATATTTTTTCCCATGATGTCTTCAGTAATTCAATCAAACTAAATGAAGGGGAAACGGTGTCTAAGAATTTACACTCATCGCTATATACTTCTGACACATGTTGGTTGTGTCAGTCGCAAAACCTCGTGTCCCTTTCAGCGTGTCAGATGCTTCGCCGCCGATATTGGACTCAATCGGACGGATCAGCGCTGCCGCTCTGCTGCAAGGCGCGGAACTTTCAAGATGAGGCGCTTCGAGATTTCAGTGGGAGGGAGCTCCGCGCCTTCCCCAGCTGGTTCCCCTTTCCAGGCCCACTCCATTCAAGGACAGACCATGTCACCACTCACTACCCAACAGGAACTAACGTTACCGTACGGAACCCTCTGGAACAGTCATTACGATTGTTATTGGGATCTCCTTCCCAGCCAAGTTCGGGGGACCTATATTTTTGTACCAGTGAGAGCTACGTGGATCGGCTTGTAGTTCATTGGGCTTTGCAAGTAGTGGTTTATCGAGCTAAACGAGTAGGTAGCTATTCAGCAGAGTTGATTCGCAGCCAGTAGGAGAACCTCGAGAGTTGCTCCTGATCTTTCTCGCCCACTAGCAAATATCGCGGGACGTGCTCGTATCATGTTTCTGTATCCTCGTTGATGACATTCTCGAAGGTGTCGTTTGCATCTGCTCTCGTCTTGAAGTTAGCTTTTCCCTAGTGTGTTGCTACACACGCTCGTCATGCTCTCGCAAATCTCCCCTAACGCGCAGCCTCCTTGTCGGACCTCACCAGCGTCTAGGACATCTCCCTCGATTAACAGTCCGTCTAAATCGTATTTTTACGACGCAGACGAACCCGCTGTAACTCGTAACTCTGGTTCGCGAAGTGGCCCGCAGCAGCAGCCAATTCGTGGTTACCAGTCCAGTGGCGATCGCGAGTACTATAGTAATACTACTAGCTCCGGTGGCCGACGCGGCACAGAGTTTTTCAACGACAGAACTCAACGGTCACCTCGTTCAGAGAACGTCATGGAGATGAACGACATCGTAGCACACAGGTCGCCTCGTACGGGGAGCGAGACGATGTTTCACGACAGGGCGAATGCTGCGATCAAGGCAGCCGAGGAGACGGAGGAGGCGAGGAAATGGCGCGCAGTGCTTCGAGTGATGGCCGCTGATTATAAGAAGCTCGGGCGATGCCATGGATTGTGAGTGGGCCCAGTTGTCTGCTCGCCATGCATCATGCATGATGCTGATTCTGTAGCCACTGGCGTTTTGGAACCCTTTGAAAACGATTCAAAAAAACGCCAGGACATCGGTAGTACCGTGGTTGCACCTGGCGAGATTGTTGTAGGTTGCATTCGACTACAAATGGCTTCGAGCCTCTTGAGTCGACTCAAAAGTCACCTCATAGGCGGTACAATGGTCACACCCGCCGAGATTGCTGGAGATCGCATTCAGCTACAAATGGCACCGAGAGCCTTCAATATGGTGGACGGTGATAAACGCGGGGTTTCGCAGAATCCCACGTCGAGTGTGTCGCTCAGTGCCGCAATCCGATTTTTCCGCAACGGCGCATTCCCACTAATTTTAATCACATTTTCCACGTGACGCATTCCCCCTTATAATGCGATTCGTTTTCCGCTGTGGTGCGATGCAGGCTTCAGCAGGACTACGAGCGGCGGCGGGTGGAGATGGAGCAGCTGCAGCAGCAGTTGAAGGAGCTTGCTGCGCACAAAGAGGTGAGTGCTTGTCGCACAACGAGGTGAGTCCTTGTCGCACGAGGTGGGTGCTTATCGCGCAACGAGGTGAGAGCTTAGTGCGCAGCGAGCCGTATGTTTATCAGATGAGTGCTTTCCGCTCACCCGCTCTCTCTCTGGTACCTCCCCGCTTGCGCTACCCCCTTCTCCGCCAGTCCCTCTGCGGGGAGATCTCCTCCAATGACGAGGTGACTTAGTCTCCCCTTTAATTCAAAAGTCCCCCCCTGCTCTTTCCCCTTTTTCGCCAGTCCCTCCGCGGGGAGATCTCCTCCAATGATGCGCGGGCGCGGGAGACGGAGGCGCAGCTACGCGCGCAGATGCAAGCGGAGCGATCAGAGTTGGAACGGGGCGCAGCCGTCGCTTCCGCGCGCTCGGCTTCCGACCTCCGCGCGGCTCTCTCCGCGCGAGACGAGGCGTTTTCGCGCGAGCGCGCGGGGCTCGCGCAGCAGCTGGCGGACCTGCGGCGGGAGCTTCAGGCGGAGCGGGAGAAAGAGCGCCCGTGCTTCGAGTGCGCGGAGCGCGCCTGGCGGGACGAGGAGGAGGCGGAGGAGGAAGCGGAGAGGAGGAGGCGCAGCGAGGCGGAAGTTGCGCGCTGGCAGCAGGCGGCGGGACTTGCGGCGGCGGGACTCGTTATAGAAAGCGCCGCTAAAGAGTTCCTCTTAGACCGAGTGGACGATCTGGAGCGATCGGAAGTCGAGATGGAGCAAGAGCGACTCGAGAGCGAGAGGGCGGAGCGGGAGGAAGGGAGGCGGGAAGGGGAAGCGCGCGCTCGCGCGGAAGCCGGAATCCAGCGGGAGCAGATCTTGGCGAAATGGGCGGAGGAGCGGGAAGCGTGGGGGCAGCGCACGGCGGAAAAAGACCAGGAAGTTGCGCTACTGGTGGCGGAGAAGGCGGACGTAGAGATTAGGTTACGGGGCGCGGAAGCGGAGGTGGAGAGAGTTAAGGCGGAGGCGGCGGCGCAGCAGCGCGTGGTGGAGAACCTCACGCGCGACCGCCACATGCTCGCGCGCAAGTCGGAGGATCTTTCCGCGCGCGCGGCGGCGGCGCAGAGGCGCGCGGATGCGGCGGAGGAGGCGGCGGAGGTGGCGGAGACGCAGGCGGAGGACGAGCGCGACCTGGCGGCGTCGCTGCAGCGGGAGCTGCAGATGCTGAAGGCGAAGTTCCTCCACCAGGAGGCGGAGAAGGAGAAACTGTGAGTAGCGGTTAAGAAGTATGTTGGGAGAGGTTGGGCGGGAGAGAGGATGGGCGGGGAAGAGGAGGCGGGGTTCTTGAATCAAGAAGCGTGCAAGGGCGAAACTGTGAGATGGGAGGAGGGGGGAGGGAGGTTGAGAAGGATGAGTGACCAGCTGAGTGTGGTGGAGGAGCAGGATGAGCTGCGCCTTCCCTTTGCTTCCCCCATCCTCTTGGTCCTGCTTTTCATTACGAGCTTTCTGTTACGATCTTTCCGTTTCGCTGCTGCTGCTGCAGGGAGATGGACGTGGCAGAGGCGTGAGACCAGCTGAGTGTGGTGGAGGAGCAGGATGCGATCATTCTCCTCTACTGTTCCCTCAGCCCCTTCACAGCCTCGCTAGATCCCCTTCTCTCCGCAACTCCTCCCTCCCTGGCTGGATCGTCGCAGGGAGATGGATGTGGCAGAGGCGCGCGACCAGCTGAGTGTGGTGGAGGAGCAGGATGCGATAGTGAGGAAGAACCTTCGCAAGGCGGAGGAGGAGGTGAGAGCCCTTAGATTGCGGTGAGACGCGTACGTTTGCTATTGATACACTGGGTAAATGTTTTTTTCTCTTGGTATAATGCGTCCCAGGACACAATCCACAACCCTCACCCTTCCGTCTCCCATGTTCTCCCTCGCCTCGTCTTCCCACTCCTCCTCCTGTCCACCCCAGCTTGACGTGTTGGTGGATGAGTGTGCGGAGATGAGGCGCATACTGCGGCTGACAGTGCAGGCGTTTGACTACCACAAGGACTCCATTCTGCACCTACCTGGGGTGAGTCGTGCCACCTTCAATATTGTCACCCTCTGTTTAGTCACACTCAGTATGGTCACATCGGAGTCATCATCTCGCATACTGCGGCTGACAGTGCAGGCCTTTGATTACCACAAGGACTCCATCCTGCACCTACCCGGGGTGAGTGGTCACGCTTGGTTTAATCACATGCAGTACTGTCACACTCGTATAATCACACGCAGTATTGTCACACTCGGTATAATCAAACGCAGTTCCGTCACACTTGGTATAATCACGCCGTACCGTCACACTCGGTATGGTGTGGTCACATCAAAGTCATCATCTCGCCTGGTGCGGCTGACAGATAGTGCAGGCGTTTGGCTACCACAAGGAGTCCATTCTGCACCTCCCGGGGGTGAGTGCTGCCGCGTGCAGTATTCTCGCACTTTTAGAACCACATTCAGTACTGTCACACACACTATGGTCCTATCTGAGTCATCACCTCGCCTGCTGCGGCTGACAGTGCAGGCGTTGGAATACCACAAGGACTCCATCCTGCACCTGCCGGGGGTGAGTGGTGCCTGCCGCGCTCACTTATGCTGCATTCTGTTCAGTCACATTTCACTACTAATGCACTCAGAATAGTCACACTGGACTGCATCTGTCAGCTTGTGCGCTGTGGCTGACCTACAACGTGTTGGGACTCACGGGGGCCGTTTGACCACCACAGGGACTCACATTGGAGCTTGTCGTCTTGCCTGCTGCGGCTGATAGCGTAGGTGTGACTCAAGGGGCACTTTCGAGAGAAAGGTCATATTGGAGTTAGTCATCTTTCCTGCTGCAGCTGACATAAGTACCTCACCATGCCCTTCATCCACCTCTCTCAGTCCTATCTTCCCATGCCCCATGCATCACCCACCAGATGAAGAGCCTGTCAGCTGAGCTCGTGACAGCAGTCGCAAAAATATTTGTTCTCAACTCTCTCTCATTTCCTTCTCACTTGCCCCTCTCTTCCCCCATCTCCCCATGTCCCACACACACCACCCATCAGATGAAGAGCCTATCAGATCAGCTTGTGAGAGCAGCAGCAGAGTTTGAGGATGAGGAACAAACAGATGGTTATGACAGCGTGGCAGGAGGCAGCTGAGCGAATGACAGTGCCAGGAACAACTAATTGTGCTTTCAATGAATTTGTTGGGAAGGAACTTGACGTCCGAAATGGATGAAGACTAGACTATATAAAAATAGGAGCAAGTTGAAATAGCTGTTGCGATATTCTGGCTCATGTGGCGTACGAGAAATATGTAAAGATTTGAAGTCGTTATTGCTGAATGGGTTGGAAAGTCACATAGAAGAGTGGATGATAGTGGACTAGGCATGACATTGTAGTTTGTTGTATATTTACACAATGAGACGGCTTCTACCGAGTCCACTGACAACGAGATGGATAATGGTGGTTTGAGTTGAAGTCTCTGCATTGTGCTTCCTAGATTCCCTAGTTCCCGAATCCTCCTTTCTGGCTCCTACACCTCTCCTCCGGTAATTTCACGGGGTGACATACCCGAGTCGCGTTAACGTTTGCCCGAGAGGGTGTGAAATTTGACAGAGCAAAAAAGTTCTGATTAATTTCACACACGAGTCGCAAAGCCTGCAGCTGACATGGATAAAGTACATCGCACGATCTCAAGGAAATTTATCCAGCCAGTGCCACATCACCACGTCAGGATTGCGTGGGGCTGGGGAACAACCAAAACAGAATCAGGGCGTTGCTAAGTTTTGTTTCGAAGGAATTCGTGTCAGCCTACGAAACGTTGACACTGTTTTTAAGGGAGACTAAGTTCAAAATTTACAGCAGGCCACACGACACGAAGTCAAATTACCGAGTCCTAAACTGACCAAGAATACGCCCCGAATTTTTCAGAAGTTGTGGCTTTCCCATCATCCTCTCGAGTATAAATTGCTTCATTTCTGTGGGTGGGGGTCTAGATGTTCAGGGCTGTCGCTTGCAGGGCGTTTGCCCTGCTGGACCTTGAATTCCAGGGCTGGGTTGCCCTTGAAAGCTGAAATTGATGGGTTGGAAATATTCTGGCCCTGATTCTTTACAGGGCTGATTTTGGGCTTAGGCCTGGTGTGTAAAACCCTGATTTTGGACCCCGAAGTGACACCGAGGCGCGGTGTGAAATTAAGGGTAGTGAAGATATCGGAGAACAGGTGTAGTAAGAAAAGCCTCATTCAGCAGGGCGAACAGGGCCAATGATTTATATCTTCGCTCAGAAGGGTCGGGTAGTAATTGACGGTATTGACGATGATGGCTGCGGGATGATGGTGGTGGTGATAGACACTCCTAGTTTAGGGAGGAGTCTAGCTTCATTGAGATGTGGTCTTCCTGACAGCTGACAGCACTGAGAACAACATTGAGTAGTACAGTAGCTGAGAGGTTGAGGGCCGTCATGCTCTCATGTTATGTTGCGTGCAATAATTACTTGCATGGCTCCACGTGTTTGTTGTTCGCTTGAAGTAGCTCGGAGGCTTTCGACGGGATAAGCGTCACGGTTTTGTAACTCGGATCACTGTACCGCTGGTGTGCATCACTCGGGGTGCATCACTCTGTCAGCATGACGCTCTAAGTACTCACTCGCTAACGAACCCGAGCTGAATGCATGCGAGAACCCTCAGGGTCTTAACGCTGGTGGAGCGATGCATCATGCATCGGAACTCTCGTTGCACCTGAACGCGGGCTGTCTTTGGTATCATTCCTCTTAACCTCGACAGACGGTGTCAGGAATAATAATTTACCCAGCGCAAGAACGCTGAACGATCGTCGGAGTCTGCTAGTCAACTTGATTTGGTTTTGCGATTAAGGTTACCTTACCACAGCAATATGATCCTGTCAACTGTTTCACGCGGATGTAGGCCAGTCAGCTTCGTGCTGTCGCCACTTCCAGACAGTGCGAAAATCGATTGCAGGACGATGAGAATCGGTGTCCCTTATTCTTCTAGGAGCAGAGAAAAGTGTTTTGAACGAGCACGCGAAAAACGAGCGGTACTCTGCTCCATGCGTGCTCAGGAACCTGGTTGCGAAGGTATAGTTTTCGCATATTTGATCTCCCTGCAAATCACGGTACTCTTGTTGAGATTTTCTGGGACTACGAAAATCTTCCGGTCCCACACGGCGCATCTCCCTCACAGCTTGTTGGACAATTGAAGACCTTTGCGGCTACTCTAGGCTACTCTACTCTGTCGCGGTTTAGAGCGTACGGAAAGTTAGCAGCCTTAGGGAAAAAGAGCGACATCTGGAGCAGCGGTATTGAGATCGTGGTGGTCCCACCTGGTGTTGACGTAGTAGACGATGCCATGCTCGTGGATCTGCGTGGTACCTTCTTCCCCTCCGCAATTCAGAAGAAAGTGAAGGGAAGCTATACCTTGGTTCAGTAAGTGTATGCTCCTTGGTTTTTCCTCTGCCGCACATGGGTTTGTGTGTTTATTGATTCTTACAGCACTGGCTCAAAATTTCAGGAGGCTCTTCGACCTTCCGATTGTGGTTATCGTTTCTGGTGACACGGGGCTGCTCCCATCAATCAATGATTTCCTTCGCATGGGAGTGAAAGTTGTACTTTTGTTCTCCATTGGCACAAAACGGGATGAGTTGCGGAAGGAGAAATGGCTTTCCATCCTGAAGGAGTATGGAGGACTTTCAATACAGGACTGTGAGGTGGATGCAGGTTCAGTCATCATATGTGGATTCGTGCTGGGACTGGTTAACCCCAAAACACCATCATCCACGGCATCGCTCCCCAAAGCACCATCATCGGTGGCATCTCTGACCATTCAACCAACACAGAAAGGTTTCAAACATTCTAACCAGCAGCCTGACTCAGAGGAATAAGCAGGGCCTTCTTCCTTTTTTTTGCATATCTGAGACGCATGTGCCAGTGTTGTGCAAGGTTGCACAGAAGAGCACTAGAGCAGCATTATGGCATGCGCAGGGCAACCGAAGATGGTGTTTAGGCGGAAACTCGGACTCTGGGTGGAGGTAGTGACGAGCAAGGAGTGGGCTTCCTTTGGTTGGATTATTGCATTTTTTTTGTGGTGCAGTGTAACCTGGCTGCGTTGATCATGTGAAAGGCAAAGTATGGCTGGCAAGTGGACATGCTTGACCATACTGGAAGCCCGCGCAACAAATCACTGTGATACAGGCCACACAGCTCGAGGCTAAAGCCGATGCTAGTGAACCAAACTCTTTATTTCTACACTAGATTTGATGCTAATAAACTGTACACATCTTCATTTGAGCTCCAGCCTCTAGCTGCCCCCCTGATCTGCTCGGGCAGCTTCTCCTCCCAGGCATCAAAGTCAGGGGGCGGACCAGTCAGTGCGAAAATGTTTCGATCTGACCCGCTGGTGCAGTAAAGCAGCACCTGCCCGTCAAAAACTTTCCTCATAGCCTCTACCACCTCGGCACCTCGCCTCATGCCAGGATCATTCCTCTCCCTCCTTTGCTTCTGGTTCGACAGACTGGCTTTGCCCGAAGCTCTTCAGGTATTCGCCGAAGCTGCCGCTAGGCCCCCCACAGTTAATCAGCACCCTGCCTTCAGGGCTCAGGTGGTTCTTCAGGTGCCGCCAGGTGGCTTCGTCTGCTAGCTGAGGGAGGGCGGCACCACCTGAGAAGAGGTCCACTATGATGCCACTGAATTGCTGCTGCCCGGCTGTAGCACTACCTTCTGTAGCATCGTCAACAGTAGCATTATCTACAGTGTCACTGGCAGTACCACCTACAGTAACAGCTTCGGTAGAGGAATTGGTGCCTTGTAGAGGGACAGGAGCTGCTACAAGAGCATCGCCGATAGTCACATGCAGGTAGCCCCCCTGAGGCGAGGGTTTCTCCAAAGTGGTGAGGGAGAAGAAGCGACGAGCCATGTCCACCACCTGATGGGGAAGGGACGAAAGGAGTATGCTGAGTGATGTGGTGAGAGGGTGCATATGTGTTCATATGTGTGCATTTGTGTGCATTTGTGTGCATGTGTGTGCATGTGTGTGCATGTGCGTGAGTGAGTGAGAGGGAGGAAACGAGAATGGTAGTTCACTCACGGTTATCACTCCCCTGAACCACTCACCTCTTGGTGGATCTCCCACGCCTGCATGCCAACAGCCAACCCTTCTGTTCTTATCACGCGAACCACGGAGCCCCCTGCCAGACCCAGCAGCAACCTTCACCACCCCCTTCCCCCACCTTAGTAGAATCGCTCACGGAGCCCCCTGCACGCACGCACCACCCGCTCTTTTCCCCACACCCCCTGCACGCCAACTGCCAGCATCACGCTTCCACATCCCAAGCAACAAATACAATCTCCGAGGCACATAAAGAAAACATCTGCACGCATTCACAGTTATGCCACCCATTCAGGACTCACCTCACCACTAGGTCAATCTCTCCCATGCCTGCACGCCGACCTCCGGCCACTGTGCTCTCCTCCCACAATCCAAGTCACGAAAACAATCCCCAAGGCACCTCACCACCCTGATTCCGTGTACCTACGCTACGCACTCACCACTAGGTCGATCTCCCACGCCTGCACGCCAACCTCCGGCCACTGTGCTCTTATAATGCGAGCCACGGAGCCCCCTGCCAGCCCCAGCAGCGCCACTGGCCCGGTTAAGGGCGCGTTCCCGCCAGAGCCGAGCTCGTGTGACAATAACGGGGCCAGCGACGCCAGGTTGTCCCAGTAGGACCGCGTCCAGACCGTTCGCCTGAAGAGGGGTTTGGGTGGGGTTGGGAAGGCAGAGGGGGGCGGAAGGAGAGAGGAGTGAGAGGGAAAGAGTCAGTGAAACAGAGTGGTGTGTAACGATGGCACATTGAAGGCAGTGATTGAATGGCACTGTGGGGAAGTGTGTAGAAGCGGGGAGGCGAGAAACCCTAAACGACGCTGTTGAACCCCGAAACTTGATTGGACAAATTGTTTTACTGCCTGGCACGCACTTGTTGTAAATACTCGACACGTTGTTCGAATCGTCCAATAGCATGACCCGCGATCCGGCTAGCACCAAAGAAGGATCGTCGGCGTCGTCCTTCCCTCCCCCACCTCCCCCCTCCCCCCCCCTGCTCCCTTCCCTCCGACGCCTTTTCCGCCTGATTTTCCGCGAACTCTAGAATCGTGATCCGAGAGTATATCGTCTGCATGCATGCAAGCACGCGTAACCTTCCCGTCTCGGTATCCAGCCAATCCCCGCTTGCCACGTCATCTTCGTCAGACCACGCATCCTCCGGTACCCCTGGATTATATTCTTCCGCGACTTGCGCTGAGGCTCTAAAGCGAGCTGTGCCACGCGGAAATGCTTGCGTTGTGGTTTCCTCGTTAGAAGGCTAGAACTTAAACTGCCGCTTAACGAGTCGGACCTAGAAAAGAGGGACGAAAGTGAGCGATATCCAAAAGTCGTGATTCCCAGATGACCTGCAAAACGTTTTCTGGCCTGACTTTGTCTGACTACACCTCTGATCGCGGTGGAGCGACACGTGACAATGAAGCTCTTTCGCGTGTGGCGATGACTGGTGGCGATACGCAAGAAGCCATATTCCAGAAAGTCAGGATGTGAAGGATTAGTGAACGACGCGGGTTATGGTGGGCGGGGTATCCTTCCTGGTGACTATTTGTTCGTGGACACCATTTAAACGTGTTTAATTAAAGAAGTGGCAGTATATTTTACCTGGCCTTTGACATAGTTTCGAGCTTGTCAATATGGGAACATTCTTGCTCGTCAAGTCCCAACCAACCCAACATCTCTGGCGGTGTTCGCCAGCAACACGACAATTTGAAAAAAAAATCGACGGCATTGGGATGGCTGTGGAATCAGGAACCGGGGGCGGAACTCGGGAAATAAGTTTGGGCTGAATGCCACTTCGCGAAATTTCGCGCCTGAAATGGGAAACGTGGCAACCAGGCCTGTCGATTCAAGGGCATATGCCCTTAAAACCAGGGTGCACATTCAACGCGGTTCGGCTTGAGATGTTGGGAAGGGGGTTTGGAGAAAAAACAGTGATTGGCTCACGAGGGGCGACAAAAAAATGATTCCGCTAGAGCTTCGGGCATTTCGTAGGTGGCGGGAGGGGGTGAAATGGCGGGAGTGGGTGAAACCGAATGGCGGGAGGGATGAAACAGATTGGCGGGAGGGGGGGGGAAACGAAATTGCGGGGGAGGGGGGAAACAAAATTGCGGGGGAGGGGGGAAACGAATTTCGACGGGGAGGGGGAAATGAAATTGCGGGGACGTGGGGAAACGAAATTGCGGGGGAGGGGGGAAACGAATTTCGACATGAAGGGGTTGAAAGCACACCTCGTAACCCACTCAGTCGAGGGATAACCTTTGATGCACATTCAGCTGAATGTGCACCCCGGTTTTAATGCCTGTCGATTCAAGGACATTCCGGGCTACTCTCGCTCCAGCTCGACTGCATAAAGTGTTAGATTCGCACTGCACCCGTGCCACTAAGTGCCTAGTTCGACCCTTCCCCGGATGCGTTAAGGGCCAAAACCAGGCCTTCCCCTGTCTCAAAGTTTTGGTTTCCTACAACCGGCATGAGGCGAGATGGTTGCCTGGGGAAGAAATTGCTTCCCCATTTCCATATGCCGTGAAACCATCCGAAATGGGGGAAAAATGTGGGCGTTCGCCAGGCCCTAGATTTTCCATTTGGTTCGGACGGCATCGTAGGTTCGGCGGGATTTTTACGGGCTGACCATGCTGACGGACCTTAACGAACCCTAACTGACGGGATCAGGAAGGCGTGACTGACCTTCCTGATCCCGTCATTTTTGCTGTTAGTTGCGCTGGCGAACACCGCCTGTGTGTACACGTCACACAAACCCCAACCACACAGAAACTGCTCTTGTTCGTCCGATCTTATTCTTCAAAATCTCAACCTTTCCGTACCGATTGACCTGACCTTATCAGTCATAGTTTTTCCAACGTGGCAAAACGAGAACCAATTGACCCTTCGTGGCAGGGGAGGGCCAGATATTTGTCCCAGTACGCCAAGAAGATGCCTTCACGAGAATCTCGGGGCTGAGGACCGTGCTGATTGGACAAGGCTTGGTCTTGTGACAGCAGAGTTTGGTCACAGTCATTCGGTCACAGAAAATGTGAAGGTGGTTTCACTTCACGGCCATCTAGCCCTTCACAAGCTAGGGTACCAGCCACAGAAGATATAACACACACACTAGTCTTTATGAAAACATTTCACTTACATGAAACCGTTAAAGCTCCGGTATACATTTGAAAGTAGGGGTTCAAAATCCTTAGGAACTTGAAAAGTTGCCCCAAAACTGTGAGGCACAATGTAAAACCCTGAACCTCACTGACAAATGTATACTGGAGCTTTAAGTGCTTCTATGGCGAGTCATGTAGACGTTGAATTTGAAATCTATAATTTCTCCATTATACACCATGCAGGTGAATAGGCTGGCCGTCGTGCAATGTTTAGCTCTTGCTCACCCAAGCAGTTCCGCCAGTCACTTGTCCCAATGCTTTGCACCACTGTCAGTCGGGCGAAACACAACCGGGGGAATACACTTTTACGACTCGACATCACCACCCCACCCCATCCCTCCCAACCACCGCCAAGCACCATCCACCAACCTGGCACAGACGCGAAGGAATCACATCCACACATCCACATCCACTGCCACATCCACATCGCTGGTTCCCTTTCAGGATTCGAGAGAATGCATTTGTTGCACACACCTCCTTTCTCATTTCGCTCTCGCCCCAACGCCTACGTCGTCTTGCTCTCACGTCGCTGTGTTGGAATTCGTGGGAATGTACATTCGGCGGAAGAACCAAGGAATCTCCCAATAGTCTTTTGTCCGACGACGCTTGTTCTTGCAGTTCAGAGGCGGAGTTTTGTTATGGTTCTGAGAGGCCTTGAACAACTGAGTTGAGGCGTTTTCTTGTTCCGAGCTCGAAATACTTGCTTCCAACTCGAGCCTAAATCCTGCGACTCTTTAACTTCAGTGATCATGAGACCAGACGAGGAAGAGCCTACCCGCTCGACGATGGTGTCCATACGGCTCATATCGGCGCACAACCTGCACAAAGCGAAGGTCTTCAAGCGAATGAGTCCTTGCGCGGTCGTATCAGCATACGGCGACGCTCTCTCCAGCCAATTCCTACCTCCCGTAAAACACGGCCACGCGAATCCCGTCTGGGACACCCTTCTAGAATTCTGCGTTCCTGACCATCTCCTACACTTGGACGAACCCGCGGACTCAAATTCACATGATGACAACCTGACGAAACCGTTCCCGCATATAATAGTCAAGATCTACGCGTCAGCGTCGTTGAGAACGTCCTTAGGTCGCGCTACGATACCGCTAGAACTAGCGATTCGACAATACGACCAAACGCACGTCCATTTCTTTCCTCTGGTGCGGAAATTCATCATCGGGGAAAGCGCGTGCGGAGCGATACAAGTGGAGGTGAAGGTCGGACGGACGAGCTTCGCCCCGAGGAAAGGCACGGCGGCTTACACTGCGTTCGTGCGGACGCGTTCCCCCTTCTGTTACAGTCACAGAGTGCTCGATACGCTATCAGCGGCGCGAGCTACGCGGAGATTGCCGACGACGCCGTGCTGCGCGGAAGCCACGTGTTGCTGCCCGGGTCACTGGAACGGGAAGCTTCCCAGACATGCCCCGAGAACGATTGTGGTGGAAAATCCCGATGGGTCGATTCTGGGATTTGGAATCAGAGTATCGTGAGTGAATTTGCGTCTTCCTTGTTCGTTTTTTTTGCGTGTGCTGTCATGCATGTTATGCTGGTTTATGAAATAAATATTGCCGCAATGGCCTCTGAGAAAGCCTCGTTGTTTGTAAAAAAGGCGAGTGCATTTCAGTGTATGTAACTGCCAATTTGGAATGTACTCTTCATATGCTTTTGAACGCGGGAGATGGAAGCAAACAAATATAAATTATACCCCGAACCAGAAGCTTAAAGCAACAAGAAATGGTTCCACGTCATTCGCCCCCTTCCTTGTAACCCATGGCTCCACTCTCACCTCTACTCCTTCAACGTCCGTGCCAAGCAACTGCACAAAGATCCCCCCACTCCCATCTCCCAGTCCCTCACTCGTTATATCAAAAAAAAATCCTCTATCCAACCTCAGTTTCCCTCCCGCTCCCCCCCTTCTGAGTTTCCCTCCCTCATGGTTTTCCCTCCCTCTGGATTCCTCTCTTCTCCCTTTGGGTTTCTTTCCTCCCCCTCTGGGTTCCTCTCCTCTCCCTCTGGGTTTCACTCCTCCCCTCTCGGTTTCTCTCCTCCCCTTCTGGGTTCCTCTCCTCCCCTTCTGGGTTCTTCTCCTCCCCTTCTGAGTTCCTCTCCTCCCCTTCTGGGTTCCTCTCCTCTTCCTCTGAGTTCCTCTCCTCTCCCTCTGGGTTCCTCTCCTCTCCCTCTGGGTTTCTTTACTCTCCCAATAGGTTCCTCTCCCTTTGGGCACCCCTTCCTTTGGGTTCCCCTCCTCCTTTTTGCGAGAGTCTCCACATCGTCCGCATTAGGACGACAAGCATTCTTTCCTCAAAGTCTTTAATCTCCTTCCTCCCGTCTCCTTCCACTTGCTCGTCCCATCATCCCACATCTCCTTCCAGTTTTCCATGACTTCCATCAGCTTCCTCACTTCCTTCACCTCGTTTCCATCTGCTCTGTCTCTCTCTCCCTCTCCGCCTCACACTCCCCTTGATCATCCATCCTGATCCCTATCGACTACTCCATCTGCATTTCATCCCTCACTGCCCACCCTGCACACTCAATGCCCACCTCTGACTTGAAATCGGTCCCTTCATACCTCAATCCTAGTTTCTGACTTGTAAACCAGATTTTCAGATGAGGCAGCATGTATACTTGCGTAGAAACTAGGAGAACAGTTCGGAATGGGTTGAAAGATTCAGCTAGTGTTGGAAACAAGTAACTTAACGCTTCCTATGTGTCGTAACATCGAACCATAAAACGAGGCAAGCTACAGCGAAACAATGGCGAGTCAACCGAGGAGGTTGACAGAAAAGTAACAGCCGGAGGTTACGCGAAGGTCAAAGGTCAGCGACCTTTGACTCGAAAAATACAGCGCGACAGCAAGGACAAACAACTGACTCGATATTGAGCAGTTGCCCGAGTCGTCACTGTATCGAACCGCAACAGCAACAGCAAAACGGTTATTGCATCCTTTCATATTCCTTGTAATCTTATAAAAGCTTGTATTACCTTTTTATAATCAATCTATCTTGCTCTCACATACTAGTTCAAGGTGGTTCAACAACTTATCATTAAACGCTTCCGCAATACAACATTCCTATCAAAGTCTTAGCCTTGAAAGATCCTAAGGGCTTTTCTCAGCCCAACATGGTATGAGAGCAGATAAGGCAAGATTCAACTTCGTTTAAACTCCTACGACATCAGAAGACATGGCAACACAGAAAGAGAGAAGCTCCTCTAACGGCTCTCCTGGCACTACCCCTACTCCACCTCCAGTCTCTGGTGTCAAAGTATATGCATGTTATATATGTGTAGGCTGTAGTGGGGTAGCCAATATGGGGTACATCCCCTTTTAGGGTTTCATATTTGTACCCAATACTTTCATAGTTCATTCATTTTTCCTGCTGCTAGATTTTGACATGGTATCAGAGCCAGGAAGTAACGCAGAGCGATGTGCTTCGTTCTGTGCTCCAGTCTGTGCTCCTGACACAAGGCAATCGCGGCCTTGTTGTCGACGTACAGCACTGGAGGAGAACGAGGCCGCTCTCCCAAGTCGGTCAGCAGGTAGGTGAGCCAGCGTAACTCCTGTGCAGCCACGGCTGTGGCGTAGATCTCAGCCTCACAACTGGAGCTGAGAACTGAAGACGAGCGTGTAGAACGCCAAGAAACCGAACCAGAGCCAAGGCTGAAGGTGTAACACTGTGACGACCGCTGCGTAGCCTGGTCGTCAACCCAAGAAGCGTCTGAGTGCCCAGTGAGGACAACGTCGCTCCGTCCTCCAAGCACGAGCCCCATGCCCGATGTACTGCACAAGTAGCGTAGTACCCTCTTAGCAGCATCCATGTGCACCTTTCGGTGCCGACCAGGAGCCACGTAGCGAGCCAGAAGGTCAAGAGGGTACGCAAGGTCAGGACGAGTGCAGGTCATCAGGTACATGAGGCAGCCCACTAGCTCTGGGTAAGGACCACTCGGCTCTACGGACTCGTCCGAAGGTGGAGCTGAGAGCGAGTGACCTGTAGCCAGAGGAGTGGCCTGTGCCGAGGACCATGTGAAGCCGAAGCGCTGAAGGACCTGCTGCACCATGTGTGACTGAGTCAGTGTGATGGTGCGGCGTGCTCTGTCCCGGGTGATCTGCAAGCCAAGGTAACTGCGCAGCTCACCCAGGTCTGTACACGTGTGTCTCTTCTGCAGCTCCGACTTCACCAGGGCGAGAGCCTCAGTGTCAGCAGTGGCAAAGACCAAGTCGTCGACGTACACGAGGATGTAGAACGGCGGCAGCGAAGTGTCGGTGCGCAGAAACAGCGACGGGTCAGCAGTCGACGGAGAAAACCCAAGAGCCGCAAGTGTCGTCCTCAGTGTGTCGTGCCACTCACGCGGCGCCTAGCGGAGACCGTAGACCGGCCGCCGGAGGCTCCACTGGGTACCAGGAGGGAACGACCCAGTGAAGCCAGGTGGGCGGCGCAGCCAGATCTCCTCGTGCAGGCTGCCCTGTAAGAAAGCTGTGCTGAAGTCAAGAGAGTGAAGCTCGTAGTCACGCTGAGTGGCAACGTGCAGCAGCACCCGAAGAGTGGTCATCTTCGGGGTGGGGGAGAAGGTCTGGAAGAAGTCAACTCCCTCTCGCTGACTGAAACCTCGAGCAACGTAACGAGCCTTGAAGACAGGCGGAGAACCTGGCGGCCGCTTCACCCTGAAAATCCACATGCGACTGACGATGTTCGCCCCAGGAGGGGGAACCTCGTCGACGTAGGTGCCTGTGGACTTCCAGGATGCCATCTCTGCGTCCATGGCTGTCTGCCACTGAGAGGAGTACTCACCCGCGATCGCCTCAGCGTAAGAGCGCGGGGTCGGGATGTCTGGAGCATCCGGGTCTCCCTCGGGGACAAGCAGCATGGACACGAGATGAGGCGCAGCGGCTGCAAGACACTCAAGGTCCTCCTGCCTGTCCTCAAGGACGTCCGTGCCAAGAGCACACTCACCCCCGACGGACGGAGGACAGACAGACTCAGACAAGGCAACAAGACTAGGCGCGTAGTCTAGACGACAGGCAGCAGCAAAGTCAACAAGCTCAGCGACTAAGGCAGACGCAGCAGCAGACTCAAACGACGGGTCAGTGACAACAGTGGCTAGCAGACGCGTGACAGTAGGGTGCTCAGCACGAAACCGGTCAGACTCGGGGTCCGCAACGACAGGCAGAGAAGACGCAGGAGGAGACGGCAGAGGAACACGCTGCGGAGGAGAGGAAGGACGACGGACTACGAGGTGGGTGTCGGGGACAGCCGGCTGACGCGGACGAGGAACACGACGACCGGAACAGACAGGCGAGACAGGACGCGAAGCAGGCTCACGACGCTCAGTGAGACCCCCTGGCTGCTCAGTGTAAGGAGAAGGAGCAGGCAGCGGTGAGCCAGGCTGTAACGGAAGACCAGTAGACGAAGGGAGACTAAGAACCTGGCGAAGCACAGAGTCAGGCGGTGGCTGAGACGACGGAGACAGTGGAGCGAAGAACAGGCGCGGCTGTGCAGTGCCACCAGCACCAGCAGCTCCAGTACCTCCAGCAGCTCCAGAACCCCCAGCGCCAGCTCCTCCAGGACCAGCTCCACCAGCAGCAGCACCCCCAGAACCGGCACCTCCAGTCCCAGGGTCTCCAGCCTCAGTGTCTCCAGTAGCAGCACCCCCAGACCCAGGGTCTCCAGTAGTAGCACCCTCAGGCTCAGCACCTCCAGCTCCAGCAGCTCCAGTACCTCCAGTACGAGCACCTCCGGGACCAGCACCACTCCCAGCTCTAGTGACATCAGCAGAAGTACCTCCAGCGGCAGAGCCCCGAGCTCCAGAAGCGCGACCCTGACGGCGACCGTACCAGTCGTGCAGCTGCTGTGAGGTGAGAGGCACACGCGGACGAAGGCGGCTACTCCAAGGAAACCGCTCAACAGCAGACTCAGAACCCTCAGCGCCAGCACCCGCAGCAGCTCCAGAAACTCCAGCGCCAGCACCCTCAGCAGCTACAGAACCTCCAGCTCCAGCACCCTCAGCAGCTCCAGAACCTCCAGCAGAAACAACTCTAGTAGCAGAGTCACCAGCTCCAGCGCCTCCCGCAGCAGGGCCCCTAGCTCCAGCAGCGTGACCCTGACGGCCAACGTACCACTCACTCAGCTGCTGTGGGGAGAGAGGGAGTCGACTACGAGAGTGCAGCGGCGAGGCACCAGCCGAGCGACCACGGAGACGGCCGCTCCAGGGAGACTGCTCACCAGACGCCTCAGCGCCCCCAGGTGCAGCACCCCCAGACTCAGTACCCCCAGACTCCTCACGCCCAGGCTCAGCACCTCCAGTATCCGCACCCCCAGGCTCCGCACCTCCAGGCTCCGCACCCTCAGAAGCAGCACCCCGAGCAGGACCACCCTCAGCAGGACCTGAGTCACCAGTGACCTCAACCGGCGCAGTCAAGGGAGGAGGGTCTGCCTGAGACACACCTGAAGGAGCAGGACCGGGAGCGGGGAGGGGGTCTACCTGGGGAGCACCTGGAGCGAGGAAGAGCGGCGGGGGGGGGAAGAGGGGCAGTGCGGTAGGGGAAGAGACGGTAAAAGGGAACCGACTCGTCGAACGTGACGTAATGAGAGGGGAAGACACGACGAGAGGTGGGGTGGTAAAACTGCCAACTAGGCGCGTCAGGGACAAAGCCAAGGAAGACACAGGGAACAGCGCGGGCGGAGAGCTTGTCCGCGGTGGTATCGCGGACAAAGGCACGAGCACCCCAGACTCGGAAACGCGATGCATCGCCAACCTTCCCCGTCCACAGCAGTGTGGGCAAGGTCTCCGGCAAGGAGACACGGGGCCAGAGGTTGAGCTGATGCGTGGCGTACCGGGCCGCAAACGGCCACAGAAAATGGGGGGCAGCCGCATGGATCATGGAGGTACGAGCGACCTCCATGACTAAGCCAATGCGGCACTCAGCAACCCCATTCTGCTGCGGAGAGGCCGGAAGCGTGAACGTCTGGCGGATGCCGTGCTCCGCACAGAAGGCTGCCAAGAGGTCTGAGGAGAACTCACCACCTCTGTCAGAGTGCAGACGCAGGACAGGAAAGTCCGACTGGAACCGCTCGCGGAGCTGGAGACGAACAGCGCGGATCCAGGGGATCAGAACATCAGGGACCTCCCCCTTGCGCTGCAAGGGGAAGACCGTGATGTAATGCGTGTAGTCGTCGACGACCAGCAGGAAGTACCGCTCGTGGCCTTGTCCACGGACGCGGGCTGGGCCCCACACGTCCAGGTGGAGAGTCTGCAGGGGAGCCTCTGTGGGAGGGAACGAGGAGGAGTGAGGAGCGGCGCGCTGCCGCCCCTCGACACAGGGAAGACAGGGAGGAGCAGGCGAGGGTGGTAGAGGAGGCAGAGTCTCTGGAAGTCCAGAGACAAGG